GCTGAACCACGCAAAGCTCTCTAAGTACAGTAATTTCTAAAATCCTTCGAGTTGTGGCGTAGAGTTAGTCGAACCGTGCTGGCTCTCTTATTTTGTGTGGGGTGGCGAGAGGCCCGTGGGTCTTGCACTAAAATGGAATAACGTTTGTTGGGATATGCAGCCTAACGTTCTGCTTTTTCCTTTTCTCTTTCAGCCAGCAAGGACTTGGCCCAAACTTCCTATTTCATGGCTACCAACAGGTTATTATTTTACAATTGATTCATATTTGACAGAGGGTCTTATCTGGAGGAGATGTGCTACTGGTGACCCCTGGGGCATCGGTCAGCCTGCGAGCAACTGGGGATCGCTCGCTTCGGTTCAGGAAGAGCAGGAACCCTTTCTCCTGCTAGCTGCTGGTCAAAACCAGCTGCAGCATTGGCCATAGAAGCGAGGCAGATGGGATGCTCAGGAGCTTCACTGCTTTCTGTCATGGGGAGTTAGACAGTTGTGAAAGTTAAAAAAAAACCAAAACCCAACCCAACCCAAAAAGGTAGACTTGAAATGAATATATACATTTTTACTTGCTTAGTACCTAGGTGTCAGAGAGTTTTCACTGAACTAGGTGCTGTTCAAACGGGCAACAAATACGGTCTGTACGCCAAAGAAGGCGGATCTAGAGTATAAAGGGAGAGAAAGGGTAGTTGGATGCAGGCGTGAGGCGTTACAAGAGAAAACGATAGCCTTGTCTGGCCTGCATGACTGGACAGACAGTCCTGTAAGCAGAGGCTTGGAAATGAAAGGAGCCTCTAGCTTTTTTCACCTTGAGAGGTCCGGGTCATTTTGTCACTCGATTTTCACTGCCAGGCTGATAGCAGCCCTTCTGTTGGGACTTCCGACATTTTTTTTTAGATTTAATTTCCTGGCTTACCAGCTTCAGGCAAGTCACAGAGCTGATGTTTGGAACAGACCAGGTCGTGGACACGGAAAATCTTGTGTTTTTGTGAAAGAGCTCGCAGAAGTGAAAGGAGGGGAGAAAAAGATGGTTTAGGCGCTAGCACAGGTGAAGCTGCAGAGTTGGAGAACGCTTCCAAGCCCTGGCCGAGCTGCGAATGTGCGTGGCCTTGGGCGAGTTGTTTCTCTCCTCTCTGCCTGTGAGAGGTGTTACCTGCTCGCCTCCACAGCGCGCTGGGAGAATTGTTTGTTGAAGGTGCTCTGCAGCTCCAAAGGGCACTGTGTGGGTTTCCTGCATAAACTAGCGTAAAGGGAAGGTGGTGTTAGTAATGTGTGGGTAAATGCATCCTCGAAACGTGTTTTATCCCTGCAGCAATAATTGCAAAACCAAGGAATTATGAGTTAAGGTTACACTTGAAAGAAATCCAGGCAGAAAGCAAGAAATGCGGCCAGGCAGCCTCAATTTTGCCTTAAAGTGATGCCATGAAACACCTGATTAAGGTGCTTAAGTGATGAACTGGATTTATCAGGTGTAGCTACAGATGTTTAACTTTTATTTCCTTCTGGCATCATTACGGGGCAGATTTAAGGCTCTTTGTGCACCTTAACTTCACTTCCTACCTTGGCAGACTGGATACAGGCTCTGAATTTCCTGGGTTTGACTCCTTGGTGTATGGATAAATACAGTATCCGTGAAACGGCTTCAGACTTTCAGGCTGTAGATGCATATTTCTGTCTCTCCACATTGCATTGATGGAAAAATGTTTAAGTAAGCCGAGCATGGCGAAGAAATGCAGATAATGCCATCCTGCGGCTGCACGTAGATGCTCAGCAGCACCATTTCCATCAAGCGCTCTTTGAAAGGGCCGAGTCACGAGTGTGACAGCGGGCAAATCCTGCGCTCAACTTGCTGTCACAGTTTCGGAGGCTTAGTGGACCTGGTGTTCCTGCAGGTAGAGAGCAGGATGCTTTCTTAGTCCATCGGTTCTCCTGTGCTCAGTGCTACCTAGACCTCCCAGCACTGACGTCCGAGCTGTCGCGTGGCAAATTAATTTACTCATGAAAACGCTTGCTAGGCGGCCAGGCTCCCTTTTAGGCGCTCCTGAGTCGCTCCAGCCTATGGTGCTATTCACAGCCGAAGCTTCAGTGCTTTTCCTAAAAACCATTTGGGAAAGACCAGACCCTTCCTAAAAGCCGAAGAGGGCCAGGTTGCTCCTCGAACGCCATCCCAGGAGCTGCACTTGGAAGTGTCTGAGTTTCTTCTCAGATCGAGCAGAGCCCACAGCAGAGGTGGGGGCTGGCAGATAACCCAGCCGCTCGCTTTCTCCCTCGGAGGAGGGCTCGAGTGGGGCGGCAGTGTGCCTCGCTGCTCCCGCGCGAGCCGCAGAGCCTTGAGCTGACAGAGTTGCCTGGACCCAAGTTATCTGCAGCGGAACGGGGAAGGAACAAGCAAATCAGCGGAGCGGGATAGAGACGCCCGTAACAGTAGGGTTGTACTGGGGGAGGAACGGCAGGGACTTCCCCACCACGTCCACCTCTTGCGCAGCGTCTGTTCAGTGGGCGATTGTGAGTGCTGAAGTTCAGGCTTGGGAGTTCATGGCTTTCTGTTTCTCTCTCCCTGCTGGTGACGTCAGCCTGCACCTGACCACCTTCAGCCTGCAGTACACCCCTCCCGTTGTGGCCTGCGTCTGTATCCACCTGGCTTGTAAGTGGTCCAACTGGGAGATCCCAGTCTCCACGGACGGGAAGCACTGGTGGGAATACGTTGATGGCACTGTAACTCTGGAGCTCTTAGATGGTAAGTTTTGGAGCGAGGTTCCCCCCCAAAGGCTCTTACATTATTTTGGCATCTCTGTTCCTGGCTCTGCCGTTCAAACACGGCCACTGGCCAGTTCACGGGACTCCAGGACTTCAGGTCTTGCCAAGGTTTCCAGTGCAGCAGCAGCTTCTATGGTACAACAGAGATGGCAAAAGGCGCGCAGTGAGATGAGTTTAAATGTGGTCAGTGATGCTAGTTCTCAGTATTTCCCCTCCTGGAGTAGCTCCATCTCATCAGTAGCTCCACTCATCAGTAAGTAGGGGGTTGCCCTGATGGATTCGTGCTGGTCTGCCCGCCTCTGACCCTCTTGTTTGGGTTTGTGTTTCCTCTGCAGAACTGACTCATGAATTCCTGCAGATCCTTGAGAAAACTCCCAACCGGCTTAAACGTATTCGGAACTGGCGGGTAAGAATCTGCTTTGGACCGTGGGCGCTTGCAGGCAAACACAGGCTTCGATTTCTTCCGTGTGCGTGAGGCCGTGTGGCATCTCCGGTATTACAATGCAGGACAGTGTCTGAAGGGCGTGTGTGGGGGGAAGTGGGAACGCTCTGCGTCTGCAAAATGTTGCTTCAGCGCTTGAGTTCGTCTGTTCCGAGTTAACTCTGTAGAGACCTCGGTTTTTCAACTGCTCCAGCAACCCCGCTTGCAGTGGTTGGGTCTTTTCCCACAAGGAGAGATGGGGGCAAAGTGTCTTTAAATGAGAGCTTGCACTGTACCGGGTGAGCTGCTTGCATCAAACCAGCTCTAGTGACAGCCCGAAGTAAATGACCGGTCCCTGCTTTTTATTCCAGGCCTCTCAAGCAGCCAAGAAGTCAAAGGCTGATGACCACGGTGAAGACGAGAGCCTGTCGGAGCAGACGATCCTCAACATGATTTCCAGGAACAATAGTTCGGACATGAACATCGCTGGGTTAATGAGCATGTCAACGTCCTCGACCGCCGGAGCAGGGCCTTCTCTGCCGGCCACGGCGGACTCACCCAGCGACCAGAGCAGTGCGGATATGTCCCAGCCCGAGCGCTGGCTGTCCCAGCATCCTCCACCCAAGCTGGAGGCTGGCCAGAGTCACAGGACTAACGAAAGCTCGTCGGCTGCTGAGCATCCTTTACAGCAAGATGGCGCTGGTTATCAGAAGCAGAGTGGCAAGAACGCCCCTTCGGCCAAAGTGTCGCTCAAGGAGTACCGGGCCAAGCACGCCGAGGAGCTGGCGGCACAGAAGCGGCAGCTGGAGAACATGGAGGCCAACGTGCGGTCTCAGTATGCCTACGCTGCGCAGAATCTCCTGGTCCAGCAGCAGCGGGAGAGGGAAGTCCAGCAGGACAACAACCCTTCTCCCATCATCCTGAAAATTCCCATTGGCGGCTCGGAGAATCCCGAGCGCCCTCCCGGCCCTGACAAGAGTGACAAAGCCTCGGCTCTGAAGCTGCGGATCCCGGTGGCAGGTGGAGGTGGGGAGAGGCCGCTCCCGTCCAAGCAGGAGGAGATAAAAATGCGGATCAAGGTGCCGGCCGCTGGAGACAGGCACAGCTCCTCGGACGAGAGCAGCAGCAAGAACCGGGAGCACAAGGAGAAACACAAGGGCCACTCTTCCAACCACCACCACCACCACCACAACCACCACTCTCACAAACACTTGCACGCCCAGCTTGGCACCGGCCCCAGCAGCGTGGCGAACAAGCGGCCGGGAGACTCTAAACACAGCAGCCAGCCTAGCGCCGTGCCCCACAAAAGCTACGGTCCCCTCGCCTCTTCCCGCAAGAGGCCCCTGCCAGAGGAGGCGGCAGCCACGGCCGCAGCCCACGAGCACCAGCCCAAAGTCAGCAAAGGCTCCAAAGGCCCCGGCGTGCCCTTCCCCTACCCCCACCTCCCCGGGGCGGCCCACCTCCCGGGGCACGGCTCGGATGCGGGCAACCTCCCCTTACCCCAGGCCAACAAAGCCCGGGGCACCCACAGCAAATCGGACAAGGGTCCCACGGGGGCCAACGGGCACAACGCCAACCAGGCCAGTGACTACCAGGATACGGTCAACATGCTGCACTCGCTGTTGAGCGCGCAGGGCATGCAGCCCACCCAGCCCCCTGCCTTTGAATTCCACTCGTACGGCGACCTCTTGAACCCCCGGGCTTCCACCAGCTCCCGAGCTGACGCCAACACTTCCACCAGCTCCCGAGCTGCCGCCAACACGGACAAGCCCCGACCGCCCCCCCTGCCCTCAGAACCGCCCCCGCCGCTGCCCCCGCTCCCCAAGTAAAGCCCCTTTTTACTACTGAGTTTGTCCAGAGCCCAAGCCCAAACCTGGGCTGCCCCTGCGGGGGCGTGAAAGGGCTCGTTCGATCTCCACTGCCTCACGAAGAACTATTTTATTATATTATAACTTTTATTATTGATATTTAGAGCGCGGAGTTGTTGAAGCTGTGAAAGGATAAGAAACCCTTTCTCTATTCCTTGCTCCCGTCCCCCATCGACTTCCAGTTAGCGACGGGCTCCGTCCCTGCTGGAGCTGAAGCCCCCTCTGGGGAACACGCGTTGTTGGGGGGCTTTGGGGGGTATTTAAAGTATGTCACAGAAAATTTAAGACGTTTTACAAATAATTTAAGCAGTAACTTATATCTTAGTGTTTTGTTCATTTGAATTTTGTGGTGCTGTGGGGGCCCCCGGCGAGGGTTCGGGGCGGTTTGTCGGGTGGTTCCGCTTGAGCTGTTGGCGACAGAAAGGGGGTTCAGGAGCTTTTGGGGGGTGGAGGGGAGGAAGCGACGCGAGGGGAGGGCAGGGACCGGGGGGGCGAGGGAACCCCAGCTGCTGCGACCGCGGGGTGCTGGTTGCTGCTCTCCCTGCCGCGGGTCTGGTTTCCTCGCTCCAAAAGCTGCTCTGGTTTCGGGGTCCCGGCTCTGTCCCTTGCTCCCCTGCTGCGGGTTTCCGCTGGAAACCCCGGCGGCGGGGGGCTTTCGGTGGCGGCTCAGGGTGGCTGGCGTCAAACAGCCAGGGCGAGGTGACGGACGGAGGGCGCTTGGCCCAGGGCCTGACCCCCACCGCTGCTTTTTGGGGGGCAGAGAGCCCAGGGGAGCTGCCGCTGGCGGGGACGAGCGGTGCTGAGCAAGGGGCTTGTGCGTGGAGCCGGATTGTGCCCAAGAGCACCCCCTGGAGCAGAGCGGCCCCGTGCCGGGAGCTGGCTGGCTCCTGCCGCCGGTGGTGCCGCCGGCGCGCGTAGAGCCGGGTTTGGGCGTGAAGGGCGTCGGACGCGGTCCGTGGCCGTGCTGGTGGAGCCGGATCGGAGCAGCGTGGCGTGTTCCCAGCGGGGATGCGGGGCGAGGCGGCGCGGGACGGCTGGCTGGAAGGGTCACCCTGCCCGGGGCGGCTCTTCCAGGGGATCCCGGCGGCGCGCGGCTGTCGCAGCCGAGCTGGAAACGGCTTTTACCGGTGAGCCTCGACCCTGGGCCGGGGCAGCCGCCTGAGTTTGGGTTGAACGTTTCGGAAAAGCCTATTTCCTTTGTTCTCAGGCTTTCCTTTGCCACCCTTCAATAAATGCGCTGTCTCCGTACGGTTTTGCGAAACTCCCGTTCTACATCAAGCTTGTTTTTAAGAGCAATCGGTGCCGCCGACCCTCGCCGGTGCCCTGCTGTCGGTAACCCCCCC